GGATGCACGAGTTTAATATATATATATATATATAATACGCATGCCTCGCACGTATACACAGAGGTATACGTATGTATAGCGGTTCACCAAAGGCTTTTCGCTTCGCGGTGAGATTTTATCGCTTCGGCTTTATCGCTTCTTTTACGCGCTCCCGCCACTAAAGGGGTATTAGCCGGTGGGCCCGGCAACCACTACGCTGATGCGAGGGTGTGTGTATCTCGGTGCCTACGGTTATATCCTGCGCGAGCTCGGCTTCCATCGGGAATTTTAAGATTTACTTTTAGGGCTCGCTCCGCGAAGATCCGGCAACCCCTTACTCTCAACGGCCATCCACTCTCGTTTATTTTATCGATTCCAAGACTGAGGTGACGTTGATGGCCACGGATACCCTGCAACTTATTCAAAATAACCCAACCCTATGTGTATAACCCGAGATCCAACAAACAGGTATAACCGCACGCGAGATCGTCGAATTACAGAAACGGCGCGTTATCGTACGTCGTCGCCTCGGGTGCTCGGCTTTGCCGTCGTTTCTCGGCGAATGTGTCCCATTGAGCTCCGTATAGGCGTCACTTGCGACGATAATTGAATTACAAAAGCATCCCCCCGAGTCGTCGCATCCCACGGGAGTCTCCTTCTTGGGGCTTGTACACGCGTGCACCCCCGTGCAAGATCGAGACACTGGAATTCGCAATTACACGCAATTATCGCTCCGCGACGGAAACACCGAGTTCCCGGGATGTCGACCTTCCGCCTCGAAATATGTGGGACGCGCCGCTCGTCAAAGAGGGTGTATATACGCCTTGATGCGCCCGATTGCCCCTGGAACCGCGTGAAACCGGGGGTGGGTGTGTGTACGCCTTTGGCTTCGACGAGTCGGCTGATTGCGCCCTTTCTCGATCCCGCGACTCGGAATTTTACGATCGATCGCACGAAAATCCGTGGTTTCGTCGCAGGTATGATGTTGCTTGTAGCTCACTCTTGCACGGGTTACACTATAAATAGTCTGATGTTGATGGGTTGATTGATTTCTTATCAAATAACTTCACTTTTGCAATTTCGCACGGTTGGGGTTGGCTACACGTGTACGTGGATGTAAAAATTCCCCGTCGCAAAGTGGATGTAACGTGTCGTGGCAAAGTTCGAAAAAGCACCATTTTCCGAGATGGTTCAGATGTTTTGAAACACATTCGAGACGTCAAGCGAGCTCGTTTCGAGCGAAATTAATCCAGGGTTTGAGCGACAGGCAGGTACTTTGCAAGTTAATCCACGCAGAAATGAAACGCAACTAACAACGGACACATTTCATCGCCGTGCGTACACGTATGTGCCGAAAAATTGAATGAAACTGGATATTTCTACGAGAGCGAAGTCTCGCTAAAACCGAGGGAGGGATAAAAAAAACCAATGACACCGTGCGTCATCGGAGTTAACGTAAAACGTCACTTTTGCGCTTCGAAATAAAAGCTGTCACGCGCGCACTCTGCGGGCCCGAGTTTTATTTACCCCCGATCTTTTCATACACGCGCTCACCCGGTCTTATCCGTCAGCGTTTTTACACGAGATGATAAAAATACCGCTCTTCCCCTTTATTTTATTTTCTACACACACTCGCGAGTGTATCAACGGTGCCCCGCGAGCTTCAAAAAAATTTATCAAGAAAGAGGGGCGTAACTAGCAGCCACGGTAAATCCAATTTTTTATACACACAAGCTTAGTCTCCCATTCATCGACGTATGGTGGGTACACGTGCGCGCACAACATCCCAGACACCGAGCGTATACTTACCTCCCAGCGAATCGCAAGCTCGAGTTTCGCGAAGCGGCCAAACTCCCTCCTCGTCTTTATAGCTCCGCCGGCACCGCATTTACAATAATTAATTAGCGAACTTGCCGTAAGTACCGATGGGGGCGAGGAGGTGGAGAGAAGGGGAGCGGGTGAGACATTGCTCGAGTCCCGGGAAATCGCGCATCTCCGCCATCAGTGGCAAACCCCCACCCTTCGGTTTGTTACCTACGTGGAATCGCGTTAATATTGGAATAATTCAGCTACGCTCGCCAGAAGGGCTGAAGATGAATCTCACGCTCGCTGGATTATACATGCAGCAATGACTCGGCTCTTGATCAGCTCGAAAACCAGGAAAGGACTCTTTGTACAAAAAAAAAAAAAAATTAGACTTTTAAGAACAACAAAAAAAACGGAGGAAGCCTTTCTCGTTCCTCAAAGTCAAGGGGGCACATATGTTACATCGACAAGCTGGCTGAGTAGAATCGGCCGAGTCGTTCGTCCATTAACGTACCCACGGTGACTGGCTGCTGCTGCTTGAGATCTCTCCGCGGTAAGGGCGCTCGCAAGAAACAACGCGTCAAGCCATCGATCTTCCGCGAGTCAACGTCTTGACTGAGCAGCCCCGAACCGTAGAAAGTTTCTCCACCTTGTTTTTTCTCCGATGCAAACACGCGCGCTCGTAATTTTTACAGCGAATTCGTGGATGCGAAATTAATTTCCATTCAACAATATCTGGCTTATTAGCGTCACGAGCGTCTTTGTTTACACGAGACGCGATACCTCGCAAGGGCAGTGTGGTATTGAAACGTCAGTTGCGTTGAGGATATAATATAACGGTTACGAGATTTCAATGGGGCAAGAACTCCAATACGCATGTGGATGCACGAGTTTACAATGTTATACGGACAATGGGGCGTCAATGTCACGTCAAACGAGCTCGATCGACGCTATACATACCCCAACACGCAACCAAAAGTTCGAGGATAGCGTATAATAGCCCCTCCTGTACTCGTTACATCTTCATTACCTCGTGATGTATCTCCGCGCGCGTACAACCGAGGAGCTCTTTGAAAAGAAGGGGAAACAACAAACTTGCGCACACTCTCTCGGAGGTGCGTAGTTGTACAGCCTCGCGAGCGAACGCGCCTGTCCGATCCGCGCGAGATGCAGCGAACCTTCGCGTGTTTGCTACCTCCCGAGTTGCCTGAAAGTTTCGGGCTGATATGCTCCGCGAAAATTTTCACGTGCTTTTGCCTCCCGCTCGTCCTTCTTCTTCTTCTTCTGCGCTTTCCTTTGGCAGAGGGAGACGACGACGGGGGGAGCGCTAACTTTAATTTGCGAAACAAAAGTTCGGCGGTTGCGGGCTGAGGGAAATTTATCATGCCCCCATGCATGATGGATGGGTCGTTGCGCCGGTGCCTCTAACTGCGAGAACCAATCGCGAGACTTTTGTCAATGAACTTGCAAATAATACATTTTTTTATTTTAATACATGTTATTATAGTTTATGCTCTAATCGTTGGATGTTTTGTTGGTGTGTTTCCAGGTAGCGGAGAGGAGTCGAGGACAAACTCAGGCGATCCCGGTAAATTGGGTGTCAAGAAGCCGAGGCCGAAAGCCTCTTCGCCGAATCGACAGGGGCCTCAGCAGTGCCAGGTACGTTAAACACATGTCGACTCGTCAGTAGTGATGGTCAATGTGTGGTCAGCCCGAGCGTGAATCGAGGACAAATATTAAATGAGCTGCAAAAAACTTAAAGGATAACGAGGAGTGCCACGCGTGTGTTAATTCGGGACGTGCAGGAAAAATATAGGTACGGTCACGGACGGTTGCGCGCGTCCTTACTCTATCCTTTTTCCGCTTCGCTTCCCCGATACGGTCCCGTCTCTCGTTTGTCCGAATTCTGGCAGCGCAGCGATACCGTCGCTAACGAGCCTGACCTACTTCGCGTCCCGGCCGAGTGTATTTATTTCGAAAAACTTAACGCCACCTGCAAGGATGTAAATTTTCCCCAAAGCGAGCAACTTTGGGTTCTCTCTCTGAATTGGCTTTCTTGAAATGCTCGCTCGCTCTGCTGCTTAAAGTACTTATCTTTTCGGTCGGTGTACTTTCTGTTTGAGTTTCGAGATTTTTCAAAAGCTTTCAGGCTAATTTTTCGCAAATCGCGCGGACGATCAAGTGAATTTAATTGCAAGCGAGGAAAAAGCTATTTCTTTGAAACGTCAAGTATGAAAACGTTGTTACAAATCCATTGGATGATGCACAAATGAAAACGTTAAAACATATTTTTCATTTTACATAATTGGCCGTAAAAACACGCCAGAGGACGAGGAAGGAGAAATAAAACAAAAACATGCTTGCGCAGAGCTGCAATTTTAATAAAACTCTATTAAAAAATAAAGTAAAATGAAATGTGCGCGCAGCTTGTAACAAGTGCTCCGGGCGTGGTACAAAATTGCGTAGCTTGTGTAAATGTTTTTTTTTTAATTTTGAAGAAAGAATATTACGTATTATATCGTCAGTGTAAACGACTTTAGTAACGCTTAGTTGACGCAAATATTTACCGTGATTTTTTAATAAAAATTACACTTTATGTTAAAACTCGTTGTTTCTTTCGTTGGTAATCCGTCATTTAATAAACGTGTAAAGTTGGCACTAGTTTATTTTCATTAAACATCGCGTGTAATTTATACGCCCTTACCAGCAGAACAACACATCGCAATAAAATGTTTTTCGTAATGCTAGTAATTAACCCATTCAAACAATCATTACAAATACAAGCGGACCTCTCATCAGCTGCTGAGCCTCTCCCATGTAAAAAAAAAAAAAAAAAAAAACAGTCCTGATGCGTGTCCCTTGCTGCAGTCGCATTCAAAAAAAAAAAAAAAAAATCCCTACACCGTCGCCGACGTCTGCACTCGAGCGCGGTCGAACGACACCTCCACGACGTGTCGCCGAGAAAGGCTGTTGAATATTCATTCGGCCTCGAAAGCCCTTGGCTCGGCTACTCCACACAAGCAACACCCATCGCCACCTTTACGTTCCACCACTGCTTAGAACCCGTTAATCCTCGCAAGAGGAGCCGACTGAATTCCGCGCGGATAATGTGTCCTCTGTATCGAGAGAGAACGGGGGGCTTGCTCCTTCCTTCCCCCCGCGCTCGTAATTAAATGACGGGCCTACGGCCGCCCTTTCATACTACTCTTCCGCCGAGACGAGGCTCGTCGATGTATCGAGTTAACTACGAATTAGTCTCCCCTTTCCTGGCCTCCCGGTGACGGTAATGTCTCGCCCCGTCGCTCATCCCCCTCGTTCCGTCAATCCCCGGCCCTTTTCGCTCACTTTCTCTTTTCACTGCGACACCCGGCTTCATTGATCTCGATGCGAATGAATCGTTGATTTTACGATTTTCTCGCAGTTCTCTGGAAGAAAAAAAAAACCAAACGGCGGACATACAAAACAAATTGCCATCGGGGGGTCGGTCAAACTCGATTATATCCCGGTATACGCCCGAGCGGATCGGTAAATAAGATCGGCAGGGAGGGGGGGTAAAAAAAAATCCAGAGTCGGGCAAGTGCGGAGCGGAGAAAAGATAAACGAGGGACGCTTGGGGGGAAAAATGAGCGCGCGTCCATACGGCTCTAACGAGCGGGCTCTCCCGATGGGCCCGAGCTGGCGATTTACTCCGCCCGACCGGGTGTAAGATCAAAGGGAAACCCGGGACATGTCTGAGTCGTTAAGTTAATTAATTGACCGACCCGCAGGAAAGTTGGTTGTGTTTCGACTCTCTCTCTCTCTCTCTCCATGTCTCACTCGCTCTGTGCACACACACACACTTCTTTCCCCTCCTCTGCGTCAAAGAGTTAACTCCTGCGACGAGGGGGCAAGTTGATTGTTACGAGATTAAGGGTGGGGTGTGGTTGTCGAAGAGAGATCGGAAGATACAGGCAAAGGGGGGAAGGAAAAGAATCAACGAGCGATGGGTATTTGATGATCTTGGTCTCTCCAGTTCATCATATTTCATTCAGGGAGTTCACGTTACTCGTTCGCGGAGCCGTGCGTGAATTTAATTTGTCATTAGCATGTATCATGGGTAAAGCCGTGGGTTGATCGAATTAACATCGGGGTGCCGGAAATTGGTTATTTTTAGGCCGGGTGTTGAAAAAAAAATCCGTGACGTGGGAGAAATTAGTTGGGGAGAGCTGTGGTGGAAGCGCAGTCGAGGTCGGTGTATGTGTGGATGCTCACGCACGTGGCGGCGCTGACATCCGTTTTGCACGCCCGAGAGTTGCTCCCTCCGCGTTCTGACACTGTCCCCTTAATTAACCAAACTTCTGTGAACTGCGGGGGAAGGGAGAGAGCAAGTTAGACGCTGGCTACGGCGGAAACGGGGCGACCAAGGGAGGACGTCACCTACAATCGCTGGCGGAACCCCGTGATTTCTGGTCTAATTTATTATTGGACGGCCGTTCATGGAGTTGAAATTCTACGGGCTCTATAAACTGGTGGAATCGGAGGCCTGTGGGGGGTAGTGTTTTGATTGTTTGTCATTAATAACTTTTCGATAAAATTGTAAACTGGTGTATTTATTTACGTTCATACCATTGTAACTTTTACTTCAAACAAAATCAGTCATGACTCAGTAAAATAGACGTGGAAAGTCGTCCGATAGTGAGTGAAGAACCAGATATTGTTCATTTTTTATGCATATAATCAAGCATGCCGTGATCTTCGTTTCAAGTAGTACAAAGTTGATACAGTCAGACGGTGAAAAAAAAGTGTTCCCAGCGCATCAAAGCAAGGCAGCTAATTCGATTCTCCAAAGGGACCCCCGCATCTCTTTAAAATTCATATGTACTCATTCGCCATCGCAAAACAAAAGTAACAAAGGCGCGAGTGCGAGCGTAAAAAAGAAAAAAAAAAAAAAGCCAAACGCGCGTAATGTATTCACGCGTACGTGTAAACACGAGGCGTCAAAAGAGCTCACGGGGTTTTTAGAAGCTCAAGGTGCGAAAAAGCCCGAGCATTTTTGAAATTCAAATCAGAGATTCCGGGAACGGCGAGTGTTCCGCGCGCACGAGTCATCGAAAAGACAAGCAAACTCGGGCTCCGTGTTTATACACACACGCGCGCATTGTATCGAGGAGGAGACGCCCGTCACAGGGCCCCTGCGGCGTGTTCTTTGATGCTGAGAGCGAGTTCGGCTATACGCGTGCACGTGTTCATATAATCCGACACTATCGTTCTCGTGTTTCGCGTCTTTGAGACGAGACCAGCGAGGCATCAGGAATGGGTATAACATACAGCTGCTTTTCGAGAATTTCCTTTTTTTTATTTACCACGAATATCTAGGGAGGGGTGGCTCTATCGTCGTGATAAAACAAGCCGAGATCCATCCAACGAGAGCGCGGAAAAAGGCAGAGGCCAAAAACGAGGTGGGCGGGGGTGGGTTACAGTGGGATCGAGCCCCGAAGCAAAGGCAAAGGCGCACGCGAGTAATGATGTTTGCTTAGCTTTTGAAGAGAGAGAGATAGAGAGAGAGAGAGAGAGATGGAGCGGGTCGAGGGGAGGGCTTTACGCGAGAGTGGAGCTGGAGAATCGACGTTGTATCTGCGCTCGGAACGATGCTTGACGAGAGCGCGATTCGAAGAGAACTGGCGCGTGTGTGGGTGTGTATAATGGTACATATACACACGGGAGGGTGGGAGGGAGGAATTTCGGTTTTGGCACGATGACGACTCCAAGGCCGTGGGCGCGGACACATGATGCTTCGTAAATTGAAACTCTAGCGTCTGTGCGCGCATCTGTGGCTCCTCGAGCCAAGGAGAAGAAGGAGGAGCCGGAGTAAGAGGTTAGAGCCGCGTAAATTAGATTTTCAGCTTTAGGGCTCTTGCTGGCTCGGAAACTCGGGAGCTCATCCTCCCCCACCCCACCCCCCAGCTTCTATCCTGGCTACGATCTCGCGTCCTTGTAGCTCTTTCTCACACTTTCTCCGATGTGCAAGTGAAAGCCTTCCCTCCTTGAGTCAATATATCTGGATTCCGTGCACTTCTGCTTTGCGCCTCTTATCCCGATGCTCTTCTCTCTCACGGGTCGTTGACGAGAAAGACTCGAGATTGCAACGGGGAGATTACAGTGTACAAGCCCAGTGAGTCACATAGAACCAATCATAACAATAATAATCATCAGCGTCAAAGTATACACGAAATCGCTTCGATCTTGGGGGGTTAATGAAAAGAGGACGACTCTTTCGCTCAAAAATGTACACTCGAGTGGGCAATCACGAGAAACCAATACCATACTGGGGGTGCCCTTTCCTCAGTTCATTTGTTTTTCCTCCCTTTTCTCGCTCCACTCGTAGATATGACTACCTATATATACTCGACTTTTATCAGCAAACACATTACGAAATCGACCTGCGGTTGATATACATCAATATACAGAGCAGCGAAGCTTAGCGCGATTTCAATTTTCCGCGAGCGAGTGAAAAGGATAGAGTAGAGCAGGGGAAAAAAAAGGAGAGCCAAGCGAAGGGTCTATATGTATAAATGGATGAGGTTGGGGTGGGAGGAGGGAGGAAACGATCGATTGACGCAATAGCATCGGTGTGGTGGGTATGGGTGCGTGGTTGCATTAGAGCTTTTCAATTAAGCGAGGGGAAATGAAAATCATAATATTTGCCGAGGGCTCGAGTGCGCGCTCTTAATATACTCTGGAAGACTTACCGTAGGGCGGGAATGTTAATATCAGATTTTTCCTGGGGCTTTCATCTCCGATGCAGGCGCGAGTTCCATCGCCTCGACGCGTAAAAGTTTCCGAGCGCCGCTTCCCCGCCGCGAAAATCGAGCCAAGCGAGCGGGGGAGTCCGGCCTATACACTACGGGTGGGGAATCGGAGAGTATTCGCGGATGATAAAACGCGGGGTTGGCAGGTGCGCGGTGGAAATTAATTTCGAGTTCCCGGGTTCTCTCGTGCGCGCGTGTGTGCAGCCGTGAGGGAAGAGACAGCCAAGGGCGGGGATCAAAGTAGAGCTCTCGGCCCATCGCCTATTTATTCGCGTGGAAAAACTCCTCGGCTCGGTCTTATGTGTATATATACGTACTCGGCTTTAGTGCTTATCGCGTTTCTCAATGCGCGACCCCTTCCTCGTCTCTGATTTCGTTTTCTTTTTTTCACCCTTCGTTACGTTTCTTAACCCAATTTCCCTCCTTGTTGAAAACTATTTCTTCTTTTCCGACTGATTATAAAAATTGCCTAAATGCTCCTCTGTTTTATTTATTTTGGCAATAAAAAATTCAAAATATGCTATATTTTTCCCATCTGCCTTTAATTGTTAGTTACCAATAGTTGTCTGGGTCCATTTCGATCGGAACAGTATAATTTATGTTGAAAAAATGTATGAAGCTGTATTTCAACAATTTGTCACTCTCCAAATGTCGATACCAAAGGTCATTGTCTCTTTGCATTTGTGTATGCCCTGTCAAAAAATGCCATAATGCACAAGCGCTTTTTTCCCACGAAAAATAAAATAAAACGCCCCAGCAGGTGACGACAGAAAAAAAAAAAAAAAGCTCCGAGTCCGCGCGGGAAAAATAACGAGTTTTAATCCCTCATAAACAAAACTCAGTCGCAAAAGTGTCAACAGAACGAACGAACGAACGAGCAGCCGAGCAAAGAGAGCTTTATTATTGAATGAAAATAAAACAAATCGCGCTCACGCGCGTGAGCCCAGGCAATAGCAGCGACGTATAAATCAGCAGTGGCACAACTCCCCCCCCCCGCGAGCAAATGGCGTCCGCGCAGCGACAGAGAGAAACAAAAGCCAAATGGAGCGATAAAGCTAGACCAGAGAGAGATAGAGTAAGCCGAATCAGCAGCTACGGTGGCACATGGCGCCGGTGGTTTTCGCGCTCTATTAGTCACACACACCGAGACCTTGTGTATGTGCACCGCTGGCCAAAACTGCAACCCTCCGAGTGCACACCCACGTCGCTCTCTTTTTCTTTTCTGCGGGTGTGCGCTCTTGTGTCTCTCCTATGGCCAACCAATCAATCGCCCCACCAATTATTTCTACCCGGCGCTCGACTAATAAGCGCTCGCGCCGTGAAATCAGCTTTGCATCCCCTCTCCCGTGTCATCTGTAGCTTCGATCTTTTTTTTTCCCCTCCCTCAATTTGACGCTACATTGTTTCGAGCTTTGAACAATGGGCCCGGGAAATCGTTGCTTTCGAGGGACGCATTACGTAAGTAGTGCCATTTTCTTTTCTTCTAATTTTCCAACCATTTTCGTTTCCAGACTTTGATCGATTTTAACGCGATTGAATGGAAATGATTTTCGTACAAGCCAACAACGCTTGATTAAGCCGTTCCAGCGAGAATCGCTCGGCCGATTCGCCCATGAATATTCAAACGGTGTTGATTTTAATACGCGAAATTAGGATTGCGGCGAGACGAGGGAGGAAGAAAGGGGTAACAAATTTGCGGGCTTTAATCATAACTCGCGCGCTGATTATATAATTTCGCGCACCAGCCGCGGCTCTTTTATTATTCGGGCCGATCGCGAGCGGCTCGCTTCGATCGTTAAAAATTCACGCTCCGAGCTCAGGAAGGAAGGGGGAGCTTCGAATATCATCGTGGGCGTATAATTGTCCGAAATAAAGGAAATATTATAGCATGCGTCACTTATATCACACATAGATTGTAAAATATGTTTCAAGTCAGTAAAGCTGATTAATTTTTTTGCTGTATACACTTAAAATAATTCTAACTTTTATACTTCAATGACAACGGTATGCGTCTCTTTTATTGCCAAACTTGGCGACGAAAACGCACCAAAAGCCCCTCGACGAGACAAATGCGACAGCTGCAACGACATCTTCACCCTGTAGAGCGATATGTATATAATTAAGCCGAATCCACGTAACGGCCCACTCGTATCGGCGCAAGTGCCGATATATATATATATAACGCACGAGTTGCGGATAAGTAATTCGCCGGCGCGAGCAAGAAGTTAGAGTCAAGGAGCAACGTGACAATAGAGGCACACGCACCCACGTATATCACGCTATAGATAGACGCAATACAATACATAATACATGTATGGCTACACATCCATCCATCCACCATATATATGTGTGTTGTATGTTTCCAGGTATGCGGCAAAGTGTTCAACAACGCATCGGCGCTCACGAAGCACAAGCTGACGCACAGCGACGAGCGCAAGTATTCCTGCAACTTGTGCGGCAAGGCCTTCAAGCGGCAGGACCACTTGTGAGTTGTTCTCTCTCTTGCTCTCTCCTTTACTAAACATATGTATATATATATATATATTTTGCTGGTGGTGGTGCTTATGATACCTCGAAAGACACCCATTCATTATAATATTCCCTGCTGCAGTCTGTGCACGAGGTATGCACGTGGGTGTTGCTGCTTATTCGTTTCTCGGAGCCCAGGGATGAGGGTAGAAAGGGGCAAGGTCTTGGCATTCCTCGTATATATATCCTCCCTCCTCCTCCTCCTTGTACCCGACATCTGAACGCTACAAGGCGTCATCGCTTGCGCGCGCCTGGGAATATTCGCGGGAGGATTCATTAGTGTATACGTGCACCTGCGAACGTCTCTTTCCCGTTGATGTCCCGCGTACAAATCACAAGTCGCAGCCGCAGCTGTCGAGCCCCGCTTATTCTGCAGGCGCATACACCAGCCCGAGCTTTTGTCCACGCTTTTCTTAATTTCCATGCAACGCCAGCTTCACCTAATTTCACCCTATATATATATATATATATATGCGTAAACGATAAACAGTACTGGTTTTGCGAGCACGAGATTTTTATATAACTTTTTTCCTTTCGAAAAACTCCTTCTGTACACCCTTAAAGGTTGAAACGTAGGAAAACAATGGAGAGAGGCAGAAAGAATCAGAGAGGGTGTGTGGGGCGTCAACCGTGAGCAGGAGCACGTGTGTACGCTCGAGGAGGCAAGAAAATCGAAAAACAGCAGAACGGTATTAGCCGACGCCGAGAGGTTCTGGCACTTGCAGCCTGTGTACACATAGGGGGGGGGGGGAAATATTGGCGTCGAGCGGTCACGTCGCGTCGCGTCTGCAGGCCTCATTATTACGCGGTGCAGCGCGCGGCGTACGTGAATCGAACGAAAAAGAATAAAAAAAAAAAAAAAAACAAAAAACAAAGGCTCGGCCGGGTGGGAGAGTTTCTGGTCGAACAACGCACGCTTTCGCGAACAGAAGGCAAGGGAGGGGGGAAGGGACGAGGATTGTGTGAGGATTCAATTCGTGTGCCACGAATCGAGAGAAAAGGGAGAAGAAAGAGGGAAAAAGAAATCAATGGCACATCGACGGAAGTGCGGAGTAAAAAGAGAAAGCTTGGCTGCAGACTCCCGCTTCCTAACTGGCTCCCCTCTCCCGTATATTTATTTCGTCCTTCCGAAGGACACTAATACTCGGGATCCGTCCCATCCACTTGCTTTTACTGTTTTTACTCCGAAGGATCTATATACACACGTATAGGAAGGGGGGGGGGCGTGGGATGCACTTTTCCGTGCACGTACAAATATGGATGTGCTGGACGGTATTTCATTCGAGACGGAATAGCTGACTCTGCGGATTAGAGCCATAGCCAGTGGGAGTGGAAAGAAAAAAAAAAAAAAAAAGTCCGTAGTCGAGGGTATTTTGGTCGTTGGACTTTATACGGTCGATTCGTGCTTTTCGGGGATGACAGGTCGACGGGACGGCTTTTTACCGGTGATTATCATCGTCGGACGTTCCGAGTCGTTGGGAGAAAGATCGGAACAAAGGAAAAACGAAGGTTCATTACGTTGATAATTCAGTTCAAGGGACTACTCCACCCCCCCCCCTTCCCCCGGGTGAAGTAAGAATGCATTTGTAGCATTGCACTCGGCGAATCGGAAGATCATCCGACGACAACCGTGTACAGCCATAGCGAGGGAGGACGGCTCGTTAGCTTTTTCTTTCTTTAATTATCCAGAAAAGTCCTCGCCCCCCGAATTCCCATACATATACATATATACACCCGGAGAGGACCGCTTTTCCACCTCGAAACCAATTTAGTTCCCCGGGGGAGGGACACGCTAACGAGGGTGGCTCCTCTTCGCTCGAATGGAATTTGCATTTGGCACACCGTTAACTCCCCCCCGCTCCTCTGGTCTCTTTATCCTCGATACTCTTTCTCCCTCTCCCCCCCCCTACCGCCGTCGATTGACGTCACTTTCCCCTCTCCATCTTACCGCCGCTGCAGTGGAGCTTTTTCTCCCACTGTTTTTGTTATATACTGCGCGAGGGAACTTTTCGCCGTCGCTTGTATTTCCCGGACCCCATAGCGATGGTACAGTTTCACGCGAGGGAGCGCGAAAAAGCCGTAACTCCCCGTTTTTCGCGGGACTTAAAAGTTGGTCCTCGAAAGAAGGGAGGGAGGAAAGGGCGAGCGATTTCATCGGTGCCGTCTTGGATATTTAAAGTAGGCGCTTAAATCCCTCGCTCCTTTCTTTTCTCTAGACAATGCCCGAGGAGGTACGCATCTGTCCGAGTTTGCTTCCTCTCAATTTACCGAGTCTTTATTTCTTTTCCTCCTTTTTTTTTTTTTCCATCCCATAAGGGCCCTGTCTCAATGGGAAGCGAATTGTTATTTTTGAGACGCGAGGCTCTCATCTCCCGCTACTGCAATTACCGCCCCATTCAGCCGGGATCTCTCGTCTTTAAACACAATCTCGATCGCGATTCGCTCGGACATCCTCGACTCTTTTCTTTCCCTTCCGAGCTCCAATGTTATTTCCTTTGCCTCGAGTCGAGTGAGCCTTAAAAAAAAGCGACGAGAGAGACTCCGTTTGCTTTTCCATCATCCGCACCTCGAATCATCCATCACAAGCCGAGTTTCCCCCCGTACGCGCACGAGGCCAAGATTGACTGGGAGTCGTTGCGCTCCCTCGCGTCAAAGGGTTTCCGTTACCGATAACGTCAAGCCTACTCGACCAGACTGGCAAGACTGAAGGGACGGTATCGATTAGCTGCTCCGCGTGTAGGAGAAAGAGCATCGGGGAGGTGCTCGGCGAGTTATAGTTGTTGTTTGCGCGTCGCGCTCACGAGCTGCTCTATCTGCTCTTAATCTTGAATCGCCTCGCAGTTGCTCGGACGCGATGTTGATGCACGGCTTCGGGCGAAACTTGGGTGTTATCTGCGAGTTGGTATGGTACAGTGCTTCTGAATTATGGATACCACGAGGACTTGGATACTAGAGGCTTGTTTTTTTTTCTTCTTAATCGTTAATTTTACTTTTGTTGGATCGTTGTAAAATCATCAGCCCAAACTCGAGGATATCCACTGTTTGTGGGGGTGAAAAAGCGCGCCTGTTGCGCCCACCTGAAAGACAAGGAAACACTTAGGCGACAGGTGCTTGCAGAGCCGAGTACGACTCAAGGGGAAACAAAAAAAAACAAAAAAAAAACACGAGCCTTGTCTTTGATTTTCAAGAGCCCCCTTCCTCCTTCTTCCGATTCCTTCTCGTTTCTCACTCCCCTGTGTGAGGAATCGTGCCTAGGGGCGGATTTTAAGCGCCCCCTCGACGTTCCTCCTATACTCTTTTTGTTCTCACTTTGCTCTTGTACAAGCGCCAACGACGGCTTGGAGGTGCATTTTTATTTTTTATTTTCCCTACTCCTTTCGGTGCACAAGTGGGTTTTATCATTAAAGAATCGAATCGAGCAATTATTGATGCAAATGGACAAAAGAACGTGAAACCTAGGATTGTTATGAAAAAAAAAACCCCTCCTTCTTTCCTATGCAGATTATATACCTTTTTTTCCTTTCTTTCGATCGACCCTCTAGAATCGTAGGAAAATCAAAAGAGGAGGAAACACCCTGAACGTTCCTCATTGCTATCGGAGATCGACAGATCTCTCGCGAACAAGATCGTAGTACCGATGCGATCGAGCCACTACGGCGCGATGGCTATATCGCGCAAGACGACAAAATCAAGAGGGAAACGGTATATGGTATAGGTGGCAGGGGGGAATTTCGAAACTGTAAACAGATGTACATTTGCATAGAATATACAGGAGAGAGCTTTGCGCGTGTATCCGAAGGTTTGTTTCCTCGCTCGTGACTCGATCCTCTCTCTCCTAGCTACAGCTTTCGCGTCGTCCCACGTGTATTCCCCTGCTTGCGTGTGCTCCTCTCGCGAGCGTATCTTCTCTTTATCTTCTCGCTCCGCTGTTCACCGACACACGGTCCTCTCCTGTGCGACAGCGTACATATATACATATAGTTCACGCAAACGCGAGGGAGGACCTCCACGTGCAAGCGATACCTTTGCACTCATCCTGTCCTCTCCCCCTCTCGACAATTGCCAAGTGTATATACTTGCCCCGTGTAGTCATGTTTCATTGCTTGCGTATGCGATGTCTGCCCCCACCCGCTTTCGCGGCTTCATTGATTTGACTCTGCTGAGCAAGGGGATTTCCGGGGAGTGCACCACCGCGTCACCAGGGGATTCGGGAGATTGGAAAATTTCATTACGACTGCCCCCCCTCCTTCCTTTGTGTTTTCCTACTTACCAAGTAGAGGTAATATATTTTAGTGTGTGTGTGTTTTTTTTTTTTTTTTGGAAGTCTTATACTATCTACGGATCGAATGGAAAAAAAAAAAAATAAAAAAATAATAATAATAACAATAATAACTTGTCACCCTTTGTTGTTCCATAGGAACGGTCACTCGTTGACGCACCGCAACAAAAAGCCGTACGAGTGCAAGGCCGAGGGTTGCGGCAAATCGTACTGCGACGCGCGCAGCTTGCGCCGACACACGGAGAACCACCACGCGGCTTCGGCGGCGGCCACCGCGGCCAAGGTCGGCGCCGACAACAACAACGGCAGCGCGAGTCCCAGCAGCCCGAACACGGGGCCCAACACGCCCAACACCCCCGGCAGCAACCCCAGCACGCCCAGCACGCCCGGACCCAACGGCGCCGCTGCCGTTACCAATTCCACACCGAACAACGGCAATCCTGGCAACAACTGCAACAACAACAACAACAACAACAACAACAACAACAACAACAACAACAACAGCACCAACAACAACAACAACAATAATAGCAGCAACAACAACAACAACAACAACAACAACAACAACAGCACCAACAACAACAACAACAATAATAGCAGCAACAACAACAACAACAACAACAACAACAACAATAACGGGCACACGGCGCTCAAACAGCTGCTCGCGTCGGAGCCGGCGCCCGTGCAGCTCAAGGTACGTATATATTCATATACACGTGATTCTTCAACTGGTTGGTTATTTTTTATCGCGAAGCATCAGCTAAATCGATGTAATTGGCATGCGTGCGTGTGTCCCCGGTGTAGGAACAATTTTCGAGGGACGGAGCAACGAGTCCCACAGTCTGTTATTAGCGGTGGTTATGGTGGCGGCGCGAGTGACGAATCGATGATGAAAGAGTTGGGGTAGCCCCGAGTATAGAGCACCTCCAGTTAGGCTAATTGCGAAAAAATTGAGCCCTGCCGTGCTACCGAGGTAATTAGCGAGTGGGGGCAGGGAAGGCAGTAATTTGTTGGGCCGGCAATTGTCATTCAACCGGCGTCTATCCGCGATGTACCTTGAATTGGTGGGAGGGGGGTTGTTACGCTGCTCTGGATTTTGAAAATTTCGCTAATAGCACGCGTTGCTCGGTTTCGCGAACTGGATGCTTTTTTTTCATCCCCCTCCCCCCGTTGTCGTCACAAATATTTGCCCTTCATTAAAGCGATTGACGTTTTACTGCAATTATCAATGAAACCTCGATCCATCGAAGCACCCCTGCGCGGCTTATTTCGTTGGTGGGCACTGTTTGTTGCAACTCAAAGGATCACCACCAAAAACACGAAAACGTACACAACCGATAGGAAACAAAGGGTCTCAGCGATTTCTGTGTAGGGACCATACGCGCGAGTAAAACGAGAAGAGCAGCGATAAAACTCCTTCGGTCCGGCGATAAAATTTCAGGCCCTTCGTAAAAAGAGAGGCACGCGTGCCCATACGAAATCCGGTGGATCGACGTGCAACGCGAGCACCTCGTAAATAAGTACGCGTGTATGTGTGTTACACTGGCCAATCGCGTACGCGTACAGAGAGAGAGAGAGAGTTGGAGGGAAAAAAAGAAAAGTTCGACCCTCTCTCTCGTTGCGATTTCACCGGCGAGTCGTCGCCTCGTGCCGACCTGCCGAGCGTGCGATAAAAGGCCAGAGAGCAGAGAGACGTGCAAGGGTGTGTGGGGGAGCAGAGCAACAGCAGCAGCATGAGCGGCCGGGAAATTAGTTTTCGCTCGAGGAGCACGGAATTATTGCTCACTTTCAAAGGGAGGAGAAAAAGGGCTCGGCGAACAAAGGTACCGAGAGAGGAAAATGACGCACAAAAAGAAGGGATGGATGAGATAACGAGCGTGTACGGGGTGTGTGCGGGAAAAAGTTGTTAAAGAGAAGGACTTGCTTGCGGGGTTGTAAAGTTACGTAGAAAAAAAAAAAAAAAAAAAGGAGACGAAGGAAAATCCTAGGATATATAAAATGGTAGGGGAGTGGTGCCCGGGTAATGATGTCGCAACGATTCAATTTAGAGAACGGAGGATGTGCTTTGAAAAAGTGCCCGTAGAGATTTTTCTTTTTTTTTTTTTTTTATGTTTCCACCGTTATCGTACGCAACAGCGTAAACGCCGATCGTAAGGAAAGACCAGGTGGCGCGGCTGTTGGAAATCGCAAGCTAATTGCAGTACTAATACACCAAATATGGGGGACGTCGATCCGCCGCGTATTGGGCTGGTTGGTAATGGGCGAGAAGAAACTTGAGCGGTTCATAAAATTTGACGACCAAAGTGTGCAAGAAGCGAGGGAAAGTCGGTGGGGGTAAATATGAGAAATTGGAGGCCATGGGATGCCAGAAAGCACGTGGACCGGCTATGAAAACTTCACAGACGCTGGGGCATCACGGTCTGGGTTTGGTCTTATGGCGCCTCAGTCTGCCGAGCTGCGTTGCTTTTTCAAGCTTTGGCAGAAGGGGGGGGGGAGTTCAGTATTGAGACAGAAAGGGAGGAAAAACACTGTAAGAAAGATTAAAAAAAAAAAAAATAAAGACTTTTATAAGCTCAAGGGATGACAGAGCCCATGGAAAGACTTTGTACCATCGATAAGCTTTTCGAAATAGTTCGCACCCCCTAACGATGGCTTCGGTACAGGACGGATAAAACACACGAGAAGCGAGAGAAACGAGGCCGACTCCCCATAAAAATTCCGGACCCAAATTGGCCATTTTTAAATCCCCCTCTTTTTTATTCCCCAAAATCACTTAGGCTACAGATCAGGACAAACGCCTCCGATTCTTGTACCATTTATCTTTGCAACGTAGCCTAGCGTAGGCGTAGTTTAAAGCCCGCTCGGTCGTTTTTCTTCCTCCACTCGGGCCTCCGACAGTACACACATGGGAGCAATGCCAGCATCACGACCATCTGCTTTTATTTCTCCGTAGCTCCGAGGCTACACTACTACCCGGTTACAGGAGACAAGACCTTATTCACCGTTTCAATGCTCAAATTAGTAACAACATCTCCAATTTTCCCCCGAAATCCAAGAGTCGGAGGAAAAGGGCGCCAGGAAAAATAATTAACACGCGTATCGGGCGAAAAAGCCATTTGCACCGGTAATGAAACTTCCTCGGCCCAAAAGTTTTTTACCCCAGCCAGCTGGCAGCTATACTTACGACAGAGTCCGAGGAAGAAAAAAAAAAAACAGGGCCAAACCGGAGCGCGAAATCTCTGGGCAGGTCCGCAAGGCGCCTCGAAAACAGGGTCAAGAGTGTAAATAAAAGCGCGGGGGTGCTGTGGCACAGATTCGATTCGTGCGAAGGGCCGTACGGGAAAGCAACCCTCGAGCCTATATATCACGATGGCCGAACCGAACTTTGCAAATTACACCCCGTTCGTCGTCGTCTCTGTTCAAATATGCGCGAGCATCTACAAACACACATTGAAAGGGTGTACAGGGTTGGGCTGCTTTTGAAATACGGCATAGCCCCAGCAGCAGATGTAGCTTCTTTCTTGTTTGCCTCGACTCATCTAATGCTACGTATACAGGGCTACATCGCTTACATATTATGTGTGTGTGTGTGTGTGTGTGCGCAGGGCAGATGGGTTCGATGAAATTTATCGACGACGGCCTTTTCATTAGACGGCGCGGATGAAAAAGCTCAAATTTTCCGCAACATTTTTCCACTTTGCAGAGCTGGTCGAAAGCAGCGCAAACACGTTGTACGCGTGGGTGTCCGAAACAGTCCACCCACACAAGTAGAAGAGATTTAATCCCAGATAGCAAATAGCGATGCGCCGAAAGAGAGAGAGAGAGAGAGGAAAAAAAGGGGGGAGGGGCCGCAAGTAAATTGTAAATTGGTTTAACGTCCCGAGGACTTAATCCCGCGAGTTACAGAGAGAGCGCTCTCCTTCTTCCGTTTCGCCGGCTGTGCGATACGGAGATTTTAATTTAAGTCTCCTCGCCGGCGTGTATATATATGCCCCACCCCACCACCCCCGAGCTTTTCCATAAAACTTTTTAAATTAACACCGCGCTGGCTCTGCTCTCGCTCCCCCCCCCCGACTCCCCCTATCGTCTCGATTTCTCAATGCACACTTCATTACATATTCACGTCCGGCTACTCGTGGATCCAACTGTTTCCAGATCGCCCTCTTCCTTCAACTTTTCGTCGATAAATGTGTGCATGTGTGTGCGGAGGAGCTCGGTGTACTTTACTCTTCTCGACTCGTTCGATCATTAATATTGATATTTATTTTAATTTGGTAAAATGAAACATCTGCCGTCTCGCTTCAACTTTCCATCCGCACTTGTACCCGCTCCAATGATGTTTTAGCGTTAAGAAATTTCAACTTTTTTTCCCCCCCCTCACATTACAGTATAAGACACCTTTGATTCCGAATTGACGCTCTTGAGTATAGGTAAACGAAGAACCCTAGCCGCGTTTACCAAAACGAGTCCTTTTAGCAAGAGCGATTAATCCCATACAAATTTTCGACTATGTCCCCTTCAGTGGGGGGAAAAGAGTAGAGGCTCGAGGACGGAAAACCAGCCCGAAACTGTGTAAGCCTCGCGCTTTCAATCTTGTACCGAAAGATACTTTGGCGGTACAGCGCCTCGGGATATCTTAACGCAATTAGCGGCCGAGTCCTCCTATTATTCCTCCTTAATCGCTGTAAGTTCCGTAGGCTATATATATATATATATGCACATCCGGGAGATTACAGGGGGAGTCGTGGAAACGAGAATTTTCCTCCCCGAAATGTCGCAAGGGATGAAGCGATCAGCTTAGCGCCGGAGTAAGACGTATTTGACGATTTAGGGTTATTTCGCCATATTCCGGTGGTCAATACCATTCAAGTCGCTGTTTTGTCAACTTCTCCCTCTCATTTATGGGTCGCATCTGCGAGTGTACATATAGTTATACACCCCTCACATCGTGTACATAACGTATACACATACCCCCGAGAAGTGTGGATAGGAGCAGAGAGCGCTCCCTGTATACATAACCCCAACGCAATCGAAAGAGATATAGATGCAGAGTGTGGGCGTATACATATATACATACAGCAGTGGATCCGTTTCGATCTTCCGAGTAAATATACGTCCGATATGTACAACCAGACAGACAGACAGACAGACTTACTCGTACCGAGGAGCGACACGACGTATCGAATTCGAGCCCCTCAACCCCCCCCCCTTTCCCCGGCTCTCGTTTCCTTCTCTCCTGTGCACTTCTTGCCGGCAAGTAAGTATAGAGACCGAGGATACGTCTCTAAGCAGCTTGTCGACCCCCTTCCCTCCTCCGCCCGCGGGCTCTGCAGAAGGTGAACGTATATACGTACACACACACACACCCCAACCCTCCTAACTGTGCACTTACCGTGTCTACCGTCCGTACATGTAGCGGGTGTAGGAAATTCTCGTTGGCCAATTGCCAAGCTCCCTCTGTGTATGTGCGCGTACACCCAATGAGTCTGTCTCCAATGGCTTTTTTTTATCGCCACCCCCTTCCCTCGTACTCCCTTGGAGCAACTTCTTACACTCGAGTGCCAAGGAGGGGGAGGGGTGTTCACGTGCGAGCTACAATACCGCGGGCCCGATCGTTTCGAGTCGCGCTAATCCGCTTTGGACGAGAGCGCCTTATATATATATATATGTACGGCTGTTTCGATACCTTTTGCA